GAACAATGAATAAGGAGGATAGAAGGAGAATTGATGCTTTTGAACTTTGGTGTTGGAGAAGAGTGCTGAGAGTGCCATGGACTGCTAAGAAAACAAACAGATTCAGCCTGGAGAGGGTTAAACCGGGCTGCTCCTTGGAGGCAAAGATTCTGAGGCTTCGTCTGACATACTTTGGTCGTGTTGTAAGGAGGGACTGGTCCTTGGAGAAGGACATCATGCTTGGGAGGGTGGAGGGCAGGCGCAGGAGGGGAAGGCCCTCTGGGAGATGAATTGATTCGGTGACCGGGGCAATTGGGATGAGTGTGTTGGAGACAATGAGATTGGCACAGGACTTGAGCGTGGTGGAGATTGTGAGGATGGTATAGAACAGGGCAAAATTTCTCAGTCTGTTCATAGAATTGTTACAAGTCATAGTTGACTTACAACACCCAACAATTACAATAGTTGCAATGGAATAAAAGAGGTTTTAACAAGTCAACATTGCAGTAGAATGTACATGGCCGTATCTTTGTGTGTTTTCTACAAATTAGGGATAACTTTTCAAGGTTCTTCATCCTGTTATCAGTTATTGTCATGACAACCTTACCTTCGATAAACCTTCTGATTCTTTTTTGCCTTGGAGGAAAATTTCCATACTAAGAAATCGTTTCCAAACTGCCAGTGAATCATTTTATCACTTGGATTTAACTCTTCTTTTGTTTTTATGTGTGATTGAAAACATCAAGACAATCTCTAAAGGTTTATCTAACACAATAGGGACTTTAGCTTTCTTTATATTCTGTTTGGCAAAGAGTCACATTTTATATGACACAGATGATAATGCCTCCACATATAAACATCTCCCCCCAAGCTTTAAATATAATTTATATCCTTTTCCATTTATTATGTGTCATGCTGCTGCAGTTAGCATACACAGTAACATTTAGCTAATATATAGAATGTGATCTTTTATATAACAATCATAAAGGATTTTATAACTAATAGATTAGATAGCTAGATATCACTGAACCTATAGGCAACATTATGATAGGTGATAGATACATAGATATATACTTAGATAAAGAAAGACTGGAGTTGTCAACAATTTCATTTTACTTGGATCCACAATTAACAGCCATAGTGAATTTGGTCAAGAAATTAAAAGATGTGTTGCACTTGGAAAAGCCTAAGTCAAGGACCTCTCCAAAGAGCTGAAGAGCAAGAATGTCAGCATGAAGACTGAGGTGTGCCATCCAAGCCATGATCTTTTTAGTTGCTTCCTGTGCATCTGAAAGTTGGTTAATGACTAAGGATGACACAAGAATTAATACCTCTGAATTGTGTTGGAGAGAAGTACTGAATCTCCCATGGACTGCCCAAGGAAAAAGTATGCCTTGGAGAAAGTACAGTCAGGGTGCGCCTGGTAAAGAGTATTATCAGGAGGGCTAATTCTTCGAAAAAATCACCTTACTTAAAAAAGGTGGAGAGTCAGAGAAAGAGAGAGGTAGATCCTCACCGAGGTGGATTGGCCTAGTGATGATAACGATGGACTCGAGTGTATCAGACATGGTGATCGTGGTGGTGCAGGATAGGGCAAGGCTCAGCTTTTGTTCAGAGGGTTGCTGTGAGTTATAATTGACTGGATGACACCTAACAACAGCAACACCACCAACTCCCAAAACTTGAAGAATGTTGTTTGCTTGTTTGTTTTCTTATAAAGCAAGTTTATTTCTGCAGAGTGGAGGTGAAAAATAGGGAACACTTGACGAATTTGCGTGTCATCCTTGCGCAGAGACCATGCTAATCTTCTCTGTATCGCTCTGGTTTTAGTATATTTGCTGCCAAAGCAAGCGCTGAAGAATGCTTTTGTGATAGT